CATCATTAGTACTACCCACCATCATCATTAGTACCACCCACCATCATCATTAGTACCATCCACTACCATCAAAACCATTATCATCATCACCATCGTCATCACCACCATCATCATTAGTACTACCCACCATCATCATTAGTACCACCCACCATCATCATTAGTACCATCCACTACCATCAAAACCATTATCATCATCACCATCGTCATCACCACCATCATCATTAGTACTACCCACCATCATCATTAGTACCACCCACCATCATCATTAGTACCATCCACTACCATCAAAACCATTATCATCATCACCATCGTCATCACCACCATCATCATTAGTACTACCCACCATCATCATTAGTACCACCCACCATCATCATTAGTACCATCCACTACCATCAAAACCATTATCATCATCACCATCGTCATCACCACCATCATCATTAGTACTACCCACCATCATCATTAGTACCACCCACCATCATCATTAGTACCATCCACTACCATCAAAACCATTATCATCATCACCATCGTCATCACCACCATCATCATTAGTACTACCCACCATCATCATTAGTACCACCCACCATCATCATTAGTACCATCCACTACCATCAAAACCATTATCATCATCACCATTGTCATCACCACCATCATCATTAGTACTACCCACCATCATCATTAGTACCATCCACTACCATCATCATTAGTACCATCCACTACCATCAAAACCATTATCATCATCACCACCACCATCACCATCGTCTTCACCACCACCATCATCATTAGTATCACCACCACCATCATCACCACCATGTATCAGCTGTACCATCAACCCTACCTCCACAGGTTCCCTTGGAAGACAACGCAATTCACCAACAAAGATATGATTGACCATCACAAATATGCACGGTTCTTCTTCCCGATACGTGGATACTTTCTGTCCAACTTTCTTCTGTTTTTCACCATTCACTTTTGAGAGAATACCATTGGTACAGTCTGGTAAACTTTCCTTTTCTTTTGTTTTAAAATCATCAAGACTCAACCGTGACTCATCCGTACTAGATATTACACCAGGTTTCTCTTCTGTGCTTCCAATTTCCTCACTAGCACTATCTTGCATTGGTTTACACTATTCAATCAAAACAATACACCCTTTCCATAATTACGTCACAAATCCCTCTTTGACCGGAAACCTCGATCAGCATAAATCGGGCGTAAAAAAAACACCTGTGGTTCCGGTTTCATATCGTGAAAAATTAGGGTCGGTAGGTCGGAAATAAATTTGTTTTTTGAATATTTTTTTTCATGGTTTTGGCGATTTTTTGCTGAGCGATTTGCAGTAGAGTCCCGACATCAATATTAACTAGAGATGCGTATTTCCTACGGACGAATTTAGGCAATTTGGCTCAATAATTAGTGTGACAACAGACGCCATTTTGGAAGGCTGTATGAGCAGCCCGCAACCACCTGGAGAAAATAGGGTCGCACGGTCAATCGCGTTGAAAAAAAAAAATAGGGTCGGCAGAAAAAAATAGGGTCGGTCGGGAACCGGAACCACAGGTATTTTTATTTACGCCTGACTACACCAGCGATTCTCGTGCTCAGGGTTTCACTAAAGCACTATCGTGCAGCAGATGGTGATCAACCTGCAGTTATCAGAGTGAGAAAATAAACCTTTTCATGCGATGTTGTAGTTTTGTCTTTGGAGGAAAATGAATAGAACTGAGAGATGCAGTTTCAATAGACCATTTCCGTATTACGGTTGAATATCCACGGACATTAGCGTGAGAATGAGGCTTTGTGTTAAATTGTAATGTTTCTATTGCCAATTAGCACTAAGCCTCGACTCGTGTTATTGTTCTTGACCACTAAAGCATAATTCCGAAATGGTCTATTGTTTGTTCGTCTATAAGTAATGACATTTCTGAGAATGACCGCCAACTGTTGCCAAGTATAGCAACGCTTATTGTATGTACAAATACTATACCATGATATCTTGAGCATTGTCGTTCTTGCGTAGTGGGACATCAAGATCATCACTGTCATTTACCTCCGCATTATCAGTTGTTTCTATATTGTAAATCAAGATGAATGAACAACCTAAACAACGTGCTTATGTTGGGGTCACCACCAAGGCCGGATTTTGGTGGAAATAGTGGGGGAGGTGGAAAAAATTTTAGAGGAGGTACAGCAGTCTAGCTCACAACCCCCATGGAAAGTTAGGGCTTAGAACGGGCCCAAGTCAACGACGTGACGTATGCATGTAGCAAAACATTGCATTAAAAGGGTACACAGAGAAGAATGGCTTCATCTGAAATGAAAACTTTCTTACGAAATGTGGACCCTAAGCAACCAAAAAATGTCAAATTTTCACTTTGATTTTTAATTCATTGAAACTTTCCCAAGGGGAAGTGCGTCAATTTTCAGGGGAGGTACAAAAATTCTCAGGGGAGGTGCAAAACGATCTCAGGGGAGGTGCGCACCTCCCCTCAAAATCCGGCCATGGTCACCACCAACCTAAATGAATGGGCTTTGCAATAATTGGCTGATCGTAACAATAAAAGACAATAAACTACAGAAATAATTTTACGAAAGCAGGAGTCATAAACACTGATTACTATTGTTTTATGAATTACAAAACACAATCATTTTGATCTTGTTTCTAAAACTTTCACCTTTGTTGTTCATAACTTATTATTCATTTTTAGGTTAATTTAATTAACCTTTTGTATATATCCTTGAGAAATAAACTAAGTTACAATCATTTTGGTTGGTATTTGTTGCTAAGCCATATGGTTAGACTAAACCAAATCATGCCAAACCCAACTACACTAAAATGGAGTCTAAACCAATACAAGCCAAACAAAACTAACTCTGTTATAATGTTTTTAACTGTTACGGGACTAGTCAAGTGTCCTGTGAATAAGTATAAACCTACCTAAAGCTTCATCTTCGTCACTCGAGATGTGGACGCATTCTGAAAAAAAAACATACAATGTGCCAAAAGAATCTGATTTACATACACACTGAACATTAAAACATATCATGCACTGGCCCTAAGAATTTTTACAACAATTGAAATAATCATTGTTCAGTGAATAACGCTATCTGGTCTCCCACAACCAGCCTCTGATCATGTAAATAAATTCCTACCAGGTTCCTTTGGTGGAACAACTTTCTTCTTTCTTCCTCGTGTTTTTTGGGCGCCTGGCAGCTTCGTTTGACCTAATAATTTCATTGTTTTCATAGTTTTATAATATACCGGGTGTCTCAAAAAAAAGTACTCCGGTTTGATTTATAATAACTTCTAAACAAGTAAAGCTATCAAACAGAAATAACTTGCATTAAATAGAGGAAGGACTAACTTAGATTTTGATATATTACAGTTGTATTTTACTTAAAAATTCACGGAGATAT